GACGTTACATCAGGCTACAGAGCAGCCAAAACTAAATTTGCCTAAATCTACTAGCACCTTACTAGGAGAGTGCTATATAAATATGTGGATATATCTTGGGAAGTTTCCTATATATACCGCCAATCATTGAAAACAGATCTTCGACACATTTTGGAAGCCTCCACACAGAGCACATGCCAATGTTGACTCTAAATCCAGCATGGGAACATTCAATGTAGGGTATGAGGTTGTATATATTGCCCTCTATGGAGATGACCGTGTGTACTCTCCAGCGCTCCAGGAATCAATTGCCAATGGAAGGCCAGGGGAACCAGGGCAAAAGGTGGCCTATGGATAGTGCTTTGGGGATGCAGCCTTCCTCAGATAGGGAAATCAACAACTGGAAAAAGAGCAAACAGATGACACAAACACCTAGTGCATTATCCAAGGTTTATTGAAAAGTCAATATTGAAAGCTCTTTTTCCTCTATAGAGATGGATTAAAGCAACTCATTCATCATTTGTCATTAGAGTATAATAATAATAAGGAAGCATTTGTTCATGGGATGAGAAATCTGACACTCCTGGAAGTGTCGGATTCAGCAGGATGCTGAGCTCTGTCCCCCTAACCCTGTGATTGACATTTTTTATGAATCACACTAAGCACAGAGCTCCATTTGCTATGTTTGTACTGGCATGGCCCATCATACGCTAATGTCCTACAAGTACGTTCATCCCTATGAGGTGACAGGCAGGTGCACAGCTTTGACCAGTAGTGTCCCCTGGTTACTATAGTAGATGAAAGGGTGAAACTGGGCCGCTGAACATCTACCAGATCCTGGGCTTCAGTCTAGGTTGCCTTGTGGGTGATTCAGCTCTGGTGTTTTAACATGTAGGGGTTGTGCAAGAGGTCCGGCTACTAGCTCAAGTCAAGGTTTATACCAGGGTCCCTCCGTTTCCATGATTGTATGTCCAGGCACCATTACCAAGTTATGTGCATTTTTTTTTTTCTTTTAAAGGCCAACTGAGCCTTTAGTTTAAAACGGAACTCTAGCCCCTCCCCCCAAGATGAGGTGCCCAGATGAGGAAAAATACTTGCCTTATGTCTGGCTCCTGTAGACTCTCTCAGTCCATGCAACTGGCCCCTACAACCTCCTCTTTAACCTCCCTGGCGGTATGATTATTTCAGATTTTTGGTGCTGAAAGCGGTACCATTTTTTGCATGGAAATATGTCGTTTTTTTATTGTAGGCTGTAATTTTTTAGGAATAACTCACTGAAATCTGTCCGAACAAGAGTCTATTAAACATCCCGGGTATGATAAAATTTGAAACACTAAATCATAAATTATAATTTAATAAATAATCATAAAAAATAATATAATAATAATACATTTAATTCAATAATATAATCAAACCAAAAACACTGAAATTTGAAATAGAGCGCCAAGTTCGCACATCACTGAGCAAAGTCGCAAAATCTTTTTCAGTGTCTGATAACGAATTTCCCCACGAATCATTATCACTCAATTCTGCAAGTGGTTCTGATTTACTATCGCTGTTCTCTAGCTGGTCTAAACCCGCTTTTGACCTAAAGGGACACTTTTTGGACGCCATGGACTTTTCTCAGTTTCCAGGCAGAAAGAACAGTCAAAATGCAGGCAGGGCACAGGACAAAGCACTCGGGACAAAATGTATGTGAAATGGGTTGAAACAGCAATGTTTTACTATGTAAAATTTGTTTGGAAAAAAAATTACATTTTTTAAAAATTTAAAAATTCCCCCTGCCGCAGCGCCCGTACGTCCCGACGTCACAGGGACCGGAACACAGAAGCCGGATGCCAGCATCAGCCTGGAGGAGATGGCCGGGGACACTGCAGGGGACACATCGCGGGAGCGCAGGACAAGGTAAGCTCTGCAGGGAATTCTTATGCAGCGCCGCATGGTAAGCCCGAGTGTAGCTCGGGGTTAGCGCTTTTGGTACTGACATTTTATCCCGAGCTACACTCGGGAATACCGCCAGGGAGGTTAAGGTGCATCAATCTGTGATTGCATGCTAGCCCCCACCACTTACAAGAGAGGGTTCATAGCCCTGTATTGCACCTGATGAAGGCCAATGGTTGCCACAGCAAGGGGTCAGGTAAGTATTAACATCATTTTATTATAAACTACCATCAATTAAAGTCCGAGTCCTAGAGACATGATGGATGAGAGCTCTAACAAGAGATCAGCTTTGTGCTAGTCTGGTGAGATCTTCCAGTGTCATCCCCACAACTGTAGTCAATGTGTGCAACCACCTATTATTCGGTCTCCCTCTCTCGCCTGGTTTCTTCGATCGTCTCAAACATTATTTCCTCCTCCAGTGATCTCTCTCTTCTGACAGTGTGACCAAAATATGACAGTCGCAACTTCATCATTAAGCAAGTATTTAACCATTGCAGTATGGAGGGAGGGGGGGTGGGCACCATTTTCCTGGAGTTCTGCTTTAAATTGGATAGATTTGCAAATTATGTGCATCAAAACAAAAGGTTTTGTTTCTGTCTAAAGCAGTCACAATAGGAAGAAGGGTCAGAAGCACACTGGAGGATAGATGAATATAGTGTGTATTTATTCATTAATAGTGCAAGTGTATGATCCAAACGCACACGTTCCTGCGTTAAAAATGGCTGTGTGTATAAGTGGGTGCTGCAGTGACCGTCGGCTGGAAACCGAACAAAATCAGCAAGGAAAAAATGTCACCAGCACACCGAGGATCACCAATATGGGTCCAAAGGTTTTAATAAACCATCACATAGTTACAGCAAGGCAACGTTTCGGAGTCTCGCAGGACCCCTTCATCAGGCATGTGACATCAGGCATCTTGTCACATGCCTGATGTATTTATAAAGCGCCAAAGTTCGGGGTACATTCCATGTGACAGACTCCGAAACATGAGGGGTTGCCCCTTTGCTGTACAACTATGTGATGGTTTATTAAAACCTTTGGACCCATATTGGTGATCCTGGGTCTGCTGGTGACATTTTTTACTTTATTTATTCATAGGACACACAAAACACCAGGACATGAATACAGGACTTATTTAACACGTTTCACACGATCTCGTGCTTAATTATAACGGTTATGACCCTTCTTCCTATTGCATCGTGTGTGGTGGCGAGCCAGAGCCTGTACCTGTTGTAGATTGATCTGGATTGTTTGCCTAAGCGGTATACCTTTTTGTTCTTTGGATAAAGTAGTCACAACCTGGGAGGAAAAGCCTGTCCCCTGCCAGCAGCTGTAGAATGCAACAGTTGCTCCCTCCTTGGCAGCAGTGGTCACTCTTCAGAGGTCCGACACACCCCCTGCTAAATTTAGAGCTATAGCTCTGCAATGAGAAAAGCTTTCCCTCCCTGCTGATTGGAATGCTCTGGCTTTGACAAAGCAAGAAGTGCGTTGGACCTCTGCAGAGAGACCACTGCTTCCACACAGCAGCATGCTGGCAGGGGACAGGCTTTTCTACTCAGGCTGTGGCTGCTTTTTTAAAGAAAATAAACTGTAAGACTTTGCACACTTTCTTTCTACTCACATGGAATATATTTAGTATAAACTAGAAGTCCAGTTGAGCTTTATTGGAGTCTTTATGTTCATTTATTTTTTCTGACACGTTCCCTTTAAAGATGCTACATTTTTTTCACTTCTTTTTATGCTGTAATAATGTTAGATTACGCCTGTAATATACTGCCATCCACACATTCTATTTTAAACACGGCCCTGTAATCCAGATTTTATGAAGAGCTCGAGTCTACGTCTCTGGTGGTTCTTGGTGTAGTGTATGCTCAGTTTGTTTCTAGCTATATTTTTATTGCTTCTGAGTAGGATCCCTCATCCCTCTTGTTCTGGTTGGAGTACACGCAGTCACCTCCACATTGAATGCACAAGCCCTGATTGATGCCACACAGCGGAGAGCTGCTTAATTCTTAATGTGAAGCTGGCTGATTGAAGACTGCATAATATATATGAAGTATAGAATAGAGAACAGTATAGAACATAGAGGGGATGATAACGGCTCTAATGAACACACAAAACCTAATTGTGAATTGTGCTTTGGTGGATAAAAGGGAAGGCCAACCTGATTATAAAAAAGCAGCACATCATTTTTAAGGCTAACTCCAGCTAATTTTATTTTCTTCTTCAGTTTTTCATAGAATAGGGAAGAATCATTTGTGAAACGTATTTATTATTGGAAGATGTAGGGGAACAAAAGTGCCACAGCAAAGGTGTATGCATTCAAGAGTATTTAGAGGAATGCTAGGGATGGCAATTTTTACATTGGTCAAGCTTGGAACAATGTGGGTACAGTGCGTATGTTCTGTACCTGTCAGATCCCCCTGGATGCTTGCAATCACTGTGGTAGGCACCTCCGGGGATTTCCACTAGTTTCCAGGTCCCATGTCGAGCAGCTGCCCTGCTGCTTGCTGAACACAGGAGGTCACAAACTTGGCATGGTACACATTGCATTTTCTTAATTCTCTGATTGGGAGAGGTGGAGTTCATGATTGTCAGGGACCCTGACGTGCAACGGCGACAGGTCCCTTTAGATCGCAGCGGTGCGAGTGCGCATGCGCTGGAACGCATGCACAGAAGCGTGGAAGTGCGCGCAGCTGCGCAGTAGGCTACGTCACAGCTACCTGGGCAATTTAAACCTGCAGTACAGTCAAATCAATGCCTTCTGGTCTACAACGTTCCTGCACATATTACCTGATCCTGTTGCTGTATTCTGATTTGCCTGACTAAGAAAGAACTCCGCCTGCACTGACCTCGGCTATCCCTGTCCATCCGCTTGCTTGATCCCATCTGCCCGCTTATTATTATTATTATACAGTATTTATATAGTGCCAAAGGGTTTGCTCAGCGCTGTACAATAGCAAGGGGGACAGAACATGAGACAAGAGCTTAATACTGACCTGGCTTGTCTGACTCTGCTGCATCTACTTACCTGCACCCAGGGGCGGACTGACCATTTGGAAACTCGGGCACTGCCCGAGGGCCCGGGGTCAGTAGGGGGCCCCATGAGATGCCCCTGGTACCTTTTTCATAGGCTTTTTTGAGTTTGGGCAAGGACACAGGGTCCCCATGATCCCCTATTGCCCGGGGCCCCATGAGTTGTCAGTCCGCCCCTGCCTGCACCTGGCTTACATCCTGACGGCTGCCATACTTACCTGCCGCTGCACCCACGATCCTGCATCTGGCCTGCATCCTGGTCACCGCCATACATACCTGCCTACTACTGCGTCCACGCTCCGGTGTCCAGTCCCAGTCTGCATCCTGATTGCCGCCATACCTGCCTGCTGCTGCACCTATGTTCCTGCATCCGCACCTGGCCTGCATCCAGATCTCCTGGGTCTTCAGCTACCTCCCGCCAGCTCCAGATTCACCCAGCACTCGTGCCACTCCTGGCTCTGCGCCCTCTGTTCCCACTATCACGGGCTTTGAGCGGGAGTCGTAAGAGGACGCCTTCTCTCCACGTCAGGCTCCCCAACCAGGTACATGACAATGATATCAACACTTCACCTCTCCACTTTGTCCACCAGAGAACACTTTGCATTCAGCGAGAAAATGGAGTGTGTTCCCTGAATGGTGCCTATGCCAAGTGGGCAAAATCTTGTGTTCACAGTGCCAGGTCCCAGGAACTGGTAGAGATCACTGTAGTAGCGTTACCCACTATAGTGATTTCCAGCTTCCTCAGTAATCCCACAAGTATGGTACATACATACTTATATTGGTCCCAGCTGGACCAATATAACTATGTAAAAATTGCCATACCGAAAACTTCACTTTTAATCAAGTCCAAAGGCAACAAGTCAACGTGTAGGAATGTGCAGTGTGCTTCTTCCATTGTAGATGGTGCCCGACCAGAGCAGTATCAAAGCCAAGAGAGGAAGTCAGGAGAATCTTGGTTCCTCCATGGTTTTTCTGGTTTCTGGAGGCAGTGTTGTGGTTGGCCATGCTGCATCCAGGGGTCATCTTTGGTTCAGCAGAGTCTTTGTGTGTCCCTGCCCCCAGGTTTTGGCATGCATTTTTGCAAAGTGGCTAGAGTAGGGAAAAAGCACCCGCCTGTCAGGGAAGTGATAATGGTAGCGAAAGGTTCCAGATGATTAGGGACAGGCTTAGGGACTCGCAATCCTGTACTGTAGCCTCCCCTTTGCGGCTGGACTGGCTAAGTCACATTCCGCCCCCTGAAGACAGATGCTGTCCGTGCCTCTCTGCTTTGAACTGAACTGTGAGTGTTACCGTAAGTAGCGCCTTCATGCTGGGGTTGTTTGTACTTGGTGTTTGCTACAATACAAGTTCTGAGTTTATCTGCGATTGGACTCTGTGTCTTTACTGCCGTTGCACCCAGCTGTACCTCTCCATAAAGCATTTTGGGACCTTCACAACAGAAGCATGTTCTTGGAGAACCCATGTTTTTCTGAGTTGAGATAACTTTCTACTAACTGGCATAAATACTCACCTTTCCCATTGCCTGTTCTGCTAAACTCCACTTCGAGGCTGTAAAATCACCACTCAAAGTAAACTGGGAAACCAACACTTCAAGGAGCGTCAATCTCCTGGATCTCTGCAAAGCTCAAAGGTGGTTCTTGCTGACCTCTATATCAGTGCTGTATCCTGAAATTTGTGGGGGAACTAGTCAAAGTTGTGTGTTTGTGGGGAGGGGGGAGGGGTAGGAGATTGACACTAGCGAAGGGTTGTTTTAGCATAGTGTAACGAACAATTAAACAAAGCATAAGAGGACCTGGCACATAGTGGTCTTAGAAATATATGCTTTTTTGCTAGTTTGTGTACTTGTTCAGTAAGCAGTATTGCAAGATCCTAGGCAGCAATATTGCGGGCAAATTTGCTCCTGCCTGTAGCCATGTCCCCTCCACTTTCTATCTTGCAGCAATAAGTAGAGTACGCTCTATAAAATGTGCCTTAGTGATTCCACCTTGCTTAAATAGTTTGGGTTGGCCAAAATTTACTAGGCTGAGTGCTGGATGTGTGTTATGTGCTCCAGCCAAGGCTCCTCTGGCTTGTATCTCTACTATTCATTGTGACTTGTGTGGTAAGTCCTTGTCAAGGTCCTGTCCATGGCAGAAGTTCTGGAAGATCTGGCATTTCTGTCAGTACTCTGCATGGCCGCAGAAGTACACACAGCCTCAGTTTGGTGCCAGACGGCCTTTATAAGGTGGCTCATCACTTCCTCAAGTTGCTGGATGATCTCTAGCTCCCCGTGCCCTGTTCCTGTTTCCTCTGATTCTGACCTGTGATTTCCTGTTACCGACTCGGACTTGCTCGTGAACCTGTCTACTCTGCTTTACCCCTGATCTGACCTCGGCTTGGCTTACGATACTCCCTCTCTTGCTCCTCTGTGTATGACCTCGGCTATCCCATCTGACTACATCTGCTCTGATTCCCACCTGGTACCTGACCTTGGCTTGAACCGGCTACCCCGTAAACATCTAAATCCCGAAAGGGCTTACATACCACACACAGGGGCCTCCTGTCTGTAGACCTATCTCCGTGCACCAGCTGTGCTTCTCAGTGGACCACCAACCAGCACTCCTACAGGCGACCTGTGCAACTTTGGGCCAGACTCCCGCTGTTCCACTCTCAGGGGAGTCCGGAACTTAGCCGCAAGGGAAGCCCTCTCTCCATTGGCCGCCATCAGCAGGTACGTGATAGTCCTGCTGTTACTCCATAAACAGAAAAATTGGCAAACTCTTGCCAGTGCTCATGCTGCTTTTTCACCAGCCCCAGACCTATTTTGGCACAAGAACTTACAATCTAATGGAACTTGAGCACACTATCTATTCTGGGTTGCTTCATTACTAAATTAGGTTGCTGCTATTTATTGTGACTTAAGCCAAGTCCTGTTGTCATTCAGTGAACAAAAACATTGGACAACTCTTGCCAGTGCTCAAGCTCCCCTTTCTCTAGCCCATCCCTGCTTTGCCACAGGAGCTTACATTCTAATGGAAGTTGAATGCATTGTGTATTCCAGCACTGTAACTTTACTGAAGGCAGAGGCTACTGTTTAATGTGGCTTGTGGCAAGTCCTGCAGTCCCTCAGCAAACAGAAACGTTGACCAACTCTTGCCAGTGCTCAAGCTTTCCCTTCTCCAGCCCCACCCCTGCTTTGCCACAGGAGCTTACACTTTAATGGAAGTTGGACATACTATCTGCATCAGTACTGTATGCCTAATGAATGCACAGGCAACTATTTATTGTGACTTGTAGCAAGTCCTGCTGTTACTCAGCAAACAGAAACATTGGCTTTCTCCTGGCAGAGCTCAAACCCCCTTCTCCTGCTCTGTCCCTGCTTTGACAAATGAGCTTACAATCTAATGGAAGTTGAGCACACTATCTATTCCAGCACTGTATCCCTGTTAAAAATGGAGGATACTATTTATTGTGACCTGTGACCAGGGGCGGACTGACCATTTGGAAACTCGGCACTGCTCAAGGGCCCGGGGTCAGTAGGGTGCCCCATGAGATTCCCCTGGTACCTTTTTCATAGGCTTTTTTGAGTTTGGGCAAGGACACGGGCCCCATGATCCCCTATTGCCTGGGCTCCCCATGAGTTGTCAGTCCACCCCTGCCTGTGGCAAATCCTGCTGTCATTCAAAAACAAACATAGGCTAACTCCTGCCAGTGCTCAAGCTCCCCTTTCTCCAGCCCCACCCCTGCTTTGACACAGGAACTTACACTCTAATGGAAGTAGAATACACTGTCTATGCCAGCTTGGCACTCTTGGGTGTATCCCTACTAGGATGTTGTGGCTCATATGCACTTCATAAACCTGTGGCAAGTATTGCTGTCACTCAGCAAATCAAAATACAGCCCCCCCCTCTTCATTCCCCAGCACTGCCTTTGATTTGCCACAGGAGCTTACAATCTAAAAATGAAGTGCAGGAGGTGAGATGAAGGAACTATTTTTTTTTTTTTTTTTTTTACACAAGCCAGCCAAATCTAATTGAAAAAACATAATTGTATGTTTAATAATGCTGCAAGAGCCAGTCAACCAGCTCAATTTAGTGCTTTTTAATCAGAATGTTCCTATTGTGTCACTGTAATTTTATACTTTCAAGTTTGATAATTGTTTATAATAATTACAGATGGGGCGCCATTAATTAGGAAAAGCGAGTAGTCAAGAAGTGTATATTTGGAGTGTTGGATCCCCATGGATCCAGTCCCTTGTTAGTTACAGCTCAGTGCGTCATGGGAGTTGAGCCACTAAAGACAAATTTAAACTGAACTGGTAGTTTGGTAATGAGCTTAATATGAGGAAGAAGTAAGGTAAGGGACTTTGATGCTGTGCCTGGTTATCTCATTAATTAAATTGTATCTACAGAGCAGTGGGTGTCCAGTCAGACATAGAGGCAGGCAGCAGAATATTCAGTGTCCAGGGAGCAGTTGAGGCAGGCAGCAAGCAACATAGTGATCAGTGTCCAGGCAGAGGTTGAAGAATTTGGCAGGCAAGAGTAGTGGGTGTCCAGGCAGAGGTCAAGGCAAGCTGCAGGCAAGAAAGTAGTGAGTGTCCAGGCATAGGTTGAGGCATTTGACAGGCAGGAGTAGTGGATGTCCAGGCTCGAGGTCAGGGCAGGCAGCAAGCAAGAGATTAGTGGATGTTCAGGCAGCAAGAAAGAGAGTAGTAAGTGTCCAGCCAAAGTTCAAGGCAAGTTGCAGGCAGGAGAGTAGTGGCTGTCCAGGCAGACATTGAGGTAGGCATCAGACGAGAGTAGTCAGCGTTCAAGCATAGGTCGAGGCATTTGGTAGGCAGGAGTAGTGGATGTCCAGTTAGAGGCCAAGGCAGGCAGCAGGCAAGAGATTATTGGGTGTTCAGGCAGCAAGCAAGAAAGTAGTAAGTGTCCAGGCAGAGATCAAGGCAAGCGTCCGTTGAGAAAGTAGTGGGTTGCCTGCTGCCTTTCTCAAGGCTGCCTGGACAGAGAGTAGTCAGTATCCAGGCAGAAATCAAGGCAAGCATCAGTCATGAAAGTAGTGGGTGTCCAGGCAGACTTCAAAACAGGCAGCAGGCAAGAGAGTAGTTGGTATCCAGGCAGAAATCAAGGCAAGTATCAGTCAAGAAAGTAGTGGC